AGAAGACCAGGCCAAAGACGAGCTTCTCGTCGTCGGAATGCGACATGCCTTTGCGAACGGCAGCAACCACGTCGCCATTACTCGCGATGGAGGCGCCAGACGGCGGGCGGGCGGCAGCTTTGGACGAGGACGAGGTTGGGCGGGCGGGCGTCCAGCGGCGCGAGTAGATGCACTCGGCTGCACGTGCGGTCAGCGCGTGTACAAAGCGGTGATCGCAACTTCACATGACGACTTACTGTGCCGATCGAAGATGTAGAAGCTGTAGAGGACCATTGCGGGAGTATGACGTCGTGGAGGATGCGACAATGGGGCGAGGTTATTGGTATGCGTGGTGTTATGCTTGTGGTGTTGGAGATAGGGAAGCGGGTGTGGTGACCGTGCCAATTGAGCGTCGCGATATGGCGGCCAAGATAGGAACGTGTTTATTGAGCTGTGCCCAGGAGTGTATACGCAATTCACTAGCCGAGTGGGTAACAGAGAGCCTAGACGGTGGGGACAGCGTGCGCCAAGTGCGGTGGGTGGATGGGGGTGATGTGATTGCCCGTCAACGGGTGAGGCTGAAAGAAATGTCAGGAAAGGCCCCCTCTCTGCTGCATCGCTCCCCTCTTAGTCGGGCCCCAGAGCAAAAGACATCCTGGGCTGTCGGAACGTCGTAGTCCAGCGCCCCGAACTTCCCCATATTATTTCTCCCTAGCCGTCTCCTAGGCCCGTGTCCATCTTATCAACTACGTACTTAGCATCTGCCGTGCCCTCGACTGCGAGGTAGTTATGTCACACCCGCCCACGCCCTCGTCCACACCTCCCCCCAAGCGCCCATCCGAGTCCGACCTGCGCATCTACACATCGCAACCCTCCCTAGAAGTCCCAGCTGTCAGCGAGGCCGGACGACCGCCCCCCGTCAAGTTTATGTGCGTGTTGCCCGGGGATATGCCATGGCTACCCCGCGGAGGTGCTGGTCCTGGCCGGAGCTGATGCTAGACAAGGTCAACACCCGCATACCAGAGCCCGTTACGACACCACAAGCGCGCCGCTTCCTCGACGAGACGTGTGAAGGTGCGACCCACTGAATGCAGAAGCTGCGACCCTGAGCCACCTCTAACAGCACAGGAAACATTCAATGCGCGCTCCGAGTACAGCAACAGCGAAGATGACGGCAGCGCCCAACACCGCATCAACCAGTACCTAGTCAAGCAGGAGATTGGCCGCGGCTCCTTTGGCGCCGTCCATCTCGCTGTCGACCAGTATGGCCAAGAATATGTGAGGATACCAGCTCTCTCGACATCTCCACCGGAAAGAGAAGGCACCACCCGGGCGCATGCCCCCAATAAGACGATGCGGGTTCCCTCGAGGTACAGGCATTGGCTCTCGCTGACGCATCAACGCGCAGGCTGTGAAGGAATTCTCCAAATCCCGACTGCGGAAACGCGCTCAGTCCAACCTCCTACGCCGACCGACCGCCGCGAAACGAATGCGCGCGCTCCCTGCTGGCATAGGCTTCAATTCACCGCTGCACCGGCATTCAGTTACCGAAGAGAACAATGCTTTCGAGCTGATCAAGGAAGAGATTGCCATCATGAAGAAGCTACACCACCCGAACCTGGTCACATTGATCGAGGTGCTGGACGACCCAGAGGAGGACTCGCTGTACATGGTCATGGAGATGTGCAAGAAAGGCGTCGTCATGCAAGTTGGTCTCGAGGAGCGCGCCGACCCCTACAGCGAAGAGCAGTGTCGGTGTTGGTTCAGAGACATGATACTGGGTCTTGAGTACCGTACGTGAAGTTAGATCATTCGCGAGACAATGCTAATATGTGTCAGTCCACGCCCAGGGTATTATCCATCGAGACATCAAGCCCGACAACTGCCTAATCACCGAAGAGGACGTGCTGAAGATTGTTGATTTCGGCGTCTCAGAAATGTTCGACAAGGAAGGCGAGATGAAGACGGCCAAGTCAGCGGGCTCGCCAGCGTTTATGCCGCCGGAGCTGTGCGTTGCCAAACATGGCCATGTTTCTGGAAGAGCCGCCGACATATGGTCCATGGGCTGCACATTATACTGTCTTCTTTTTGGCCGTATACCATTCGAAAAGCACGGTATGATCGAGCTTTACCAATCAATACGGATGGACCCATTGGAATTTGAGACTGAATGCAATCCCGAGCTGAAGGATCTTCTGGTGAGGCTCATGGACAAGGACCCCAAAAAGAGGATAACCATGGAAGAGATCAGAGTGAGTTGACTGCCCATCTTCATCGCGTAAGACTGACTTTCCAGGAACACCCGTGGGTCACGCGACAAGGGACGGACCCTTTGTTAGCAAAGTCGGAGAACGTCGCCATTATCATTGATCCGCCTACCGATGAGGAAGTCAATGCTGCCATCACGGGCAACATGGGTCACTTGGTAACAGTGGTAGGTGCACGTCTTCCCTATCGCATGCGAAAGCATTGGTATCAAAGTATCGTAGCCATTCTTGAGCTAACAACTGCATAGGTACGGGCAGTGAAGCGGTTCAAGCAGCTGCTCTTCAGACGGCGACCGGACCGCATAGAGAGTATACTGGGCAGTGCCTCGCGAATCGTTCAGCCGCCCATGTCCATGCGACCATCAGCACTACGCAAATCAAAATCACAAGACACACACGACCGCCGACCAGTTGAGAGCGCACTCTCCTCCGAGGGTGTACACCATCAGATCAAAATCGACGAAAAGGGCCAGAGACTTCCCCATAACATGGACGACATGGCATACACCAAACCTGGTCTCCGACCTGAGGTGGCAGGGAAGCGTTCAGCCAGCAAGGGATCTACTTCTGGCAGTCCGACGACGCCGACGGCTCCAGGTCTCAGTGAAGCCAAGATCATCCACGAGAACATGTCAATCCGGCCCGCGCCCATACATTCCATCTCAACTCCCGGGGGCCTCGCCCCCTCATCATCAGCGCCAACCACACCTCTCGGCAAAGGCCACGCACACAACCCACTAGAAGACACACTCTTCCTCAACATCGGCACAGGCGAAGACTTCCTCCCCGAACCCGAAGACGGCTGCATCGTCTCCGAATCCCCCTCCAACGTCGACATCAACGTCTACGAGACCGCCTACGAAGAAGAAGTCCAACGCATCATCGCCCAACGCCGCGAACAATTCGCCGCCGCCGCCTCCGCCGCCGCCCGTCGCCCCACCCTGTACCTTACCCGCCGCGTCGAAAACGTCAAATCCATCCGCGACAGCGACGCCATCTTCGACGAAGGCCAGGACTTGCGTCAGAATATCAAAGTCAGCCTCAAGTCTTTCGTTACTAAGACTAAAGAAGATATCGAAGCGAGAGGTGAACTGCAGAAGATCCAAGATGGCAAAGAGGGCAAGCTTAGTAGGACTATGCGCAATGTACGCGAGGCTAAGCGTCTTGTCGAGGAAGCAAGGGAGCGAGTTAAAACCGAAGAGAGGGATCGCGAGAGAGAGCGCAGTAGGAGTGCAACGCCAGTACTTCGGACTAATAGTTCGGCTAGTGTGCTTAGTCGGAGTGGGACGCCTGTGGGGAGTTGAGTGTGATATTTCAGTGTGAGTGAATGTGAAGGAGAGAGATGACGGAGTGTATTTGTGGGGGATGTGCGTGTTTCAATGGGCGTTTGGATGTATACATAAAGGGTTCTCTATTGTTTTTCTCCTTGAGGGGATGGGCCTGGTGCTCGAGATTATTCATACTGGTATTTGATGGAATGGATTTGTTGGATTGAAGATGTGAGGTGAGAACGGTGATGTCGTGAGGGCTCTTCAGTTCGTCGTCGCCTTTGCTAGTGTTGGATGCGAGGGTTTAAGCAGTAGTTTTGTTGTCGCCGGAATTGTGACTTGTGAGTAGCTCGTCGTCAATGGTCTTCCGGATGACCGCGGCAGCTAGATCGTAGAGTAGGTATGTTGGTGATGGATTCTTGATGTCGTTGATGGATGGTTCATAGCATCGGTGACGTCGGTTATCGTTGATCAATCGTTGCATGCCGTTGACGAATGGTTACTTTCATTGATTGATCGTGATCGCATACAATCCTGATATCGTTGGCGTCGTTGCTGGATCGTTACTTCCCTTAATCGATCGTGGATAGCGTTGGCGACGGTGACATCGTGAGCAGAGATGAGGAACTTGCCATGATATCTTCGCGTAATTAGGTCAGTAAGCTTTTAGCTTTGTTACTGTACTCCGGTCCGCTAACGATAGGAGAGTTCATGTCACTCTTAGACTCGGCGTAATTCAGAGCCCGCAGGCACAGCAACGTCATCACGTATTGAACCGGGTATCTTGAAACAACCATAGTCGAACAATCAAGGTAGTTGTAACTAAATTACTACTAGAAGACTGCGAACACAAGAACTGTCACTTTCATGTCTGCCTTGCGACGTGCAGGGCGCAACCTAGCTAGCCGAGAGATGTCCCTGAATCTAGCTGTTTTGGGATTAGTGACGAAGTACACAGCCTCACATCGTGCTGGGGAACCCAATCCTTCCCTTGACCGTCTCACGCTCCTGGATACGATTGCACGACAGCACGCGATCTTGGTGTTCACCTCTATGCTATCGAATCTTCGGAATCTCCCAGTGAGGTCTACAAAACACTGAAGTTTCACAGCGGAAGAACGTTCTGCAGGATGAAAGCGAAGAGGAGTTCTCTCCGTGCTTGCGCGCAGGTATTGGAATTTCCCGGGTGAACTACCTGTAGCTTGGGCACATGCATCCATGCAGCGAAGCGGCCAAGCGACGACGAACGAAGCTTAGCCCGGGGTAATTCCGCTCAGGCATCCCGCGACGCGTAGGTCTCGCCGAATATCTTTTGTTCGACGCTTCTCCCTTTTCTCGAGACGAATGCGAACTGCGGACCTGTGGGCTGCCTAACTACCTCCCTGGCCTCCCTTCGCCACCACCGTCCTCGCTTCTTCGACACCGAGTTGCGCATACGAATGCACTAACCGCGATCTCGCGTCGCCTTCGCTGGCATTGATACGAGATGGCGGCGTTGGGATACGATGATAAGAAGGCTTTGGCTGCGGAAGAGGAGGACATTAAAGTTGCGTGTACGTCTGTCAACTCGACGCAAGAATCGTTTTCGGAAGGAAAGACAGCAATACAGCAAGAACGCGTCAAGACCTGGGGTAATGATAGTGTGCATGAGGCAACATGCACACCGCGAGGTTGGCCGTCGAAACCGCGATGGAAAGTACGCTGGACCTGGATGTTGCACGACGCCTGTTTGACTATCTGGCACGCCACCAAATGGACCGCGCGGACGATTAAGAATGCACCACTATGGAAACACTTCCGGTGGTCGAAGAAGCAGTTCTACGCCTCTCTCCTCTTGCTCAGCTGGGTCATCCTGCCCGTATTTGCAGCAGGTACGGTGACACCGATAAGTCACATTTTCGCAGACAAGACTTTGTCATGCGGAAACACCATCGGCGGAGACCCTCAGAATGCAACGGTGACGGGAATAGAGAAACTCTTTACGCTGGACGCTACGTGGGGTCAATTCACCTTCTCACAGGCCAAGACGATAGACATACTCTGGGACTTGCTTATCGGGAAAGGCGCACAGGCATTGGCGTGGTGGGCCACGTACAATGTCTTCTGCGACGCGTTACTACGCGCGATCGAACGACATCCGGCGAGCTTCAGCATTTTCCAGAGGATGGCTATGGAAGGGCCCGGGTTGCACTGTCTATGGGCGTTGACGAAAGAGCTATGGACTGCGAAGAGTATACGGACGCGATTTTTGTTCTTCTACATGTTTTGGTCGACAGGTTACGTGCTTCTTGTACCCATTGTCCTCGGCGCCATGACAGGTTACGACAGCACTTCTATCGCGTGGCTCGACATCGACGGGTCGAACAACATCATCCCCGCTTCCCAATTATCAAATACGTGGGTTATCTTAGGCACGAAGAACGAGACGTGGAAGCAACCGGGCTGTGCGGACTACGATCTGCGCAGTGATTATGGCTACATTACGGATAAGAGACGCCAAAGTTGTACGTCGTCGTCCTCCACCTTACCCCTCACATACCCACACCCACCATCCAACCGCTCCCCCAATAATATTTCGACATACTAATACCAACGAAAATAGGTGACTGCAAATTCGCCAACGGCACCACTGTAACCGCCGCCGAACAAAGAGACCTCTGGCAGCACACCTCGTTCAATCAATACGACGATCTTTTGTTCAATTGCACCTTCGACTTCCCCAACAACACACAGACCTGGACGGAAGAAAAGGTCTACAATCAAGACTCCATCACTCATCTCTGCAACACCAGCGTCTCCGTCCCTGTGGGTGGCAAAACGTACAACGCCGACGACCTCGTCGGAGACTACGGGTACTGCTACAATAGCATAGGGTATCAGTACGACTCGCTCATCGGGAAAAGCCGCTGCCTCCCCGACACCGCCAATCCAACCTACCAATGGGGTTTCTCGACACTCATGGCTGGTTTGTTCATGTTTGTGACGAGTGCCTGGGTGTTTAGTATGTACGTGCTGTGGCAGGACGCACAATTTAATTCCACGCTTGTCAAGGAGGGCTACAGACTTACGCCGTTGCGCGCGGCGTTTGCGATGGCGGTCGCGGCGAGGCGGCGCACGGGATTAAGCGGGAAAGATCTCATTAGCGCGAAGAATAGGGCGTTGGGGAGGCAGTTGTATGGCAAGAAAGGTACGAGAGGCACGGTTGTGGATCATGGGCTCTTTTTGCAGGACCTTGAAGATACGGATACAGATACAGAGGGTGCGGCGAAGTCACCCATGTCACCAACACCCTTGTTATCAACGCCAAGTCCTACTTTCGCGTCGGCGGGCAAGGAGAAAGCGTGGATGGCTTCTCCGACTGAAGACATGGATATGGAGATTAGACCGCTGGCTAGGTCGGATACAGATCTTTCTGTCCACGTCCTCAGCGACGAGGAATTGCGGAAAAGATACCTACGCGGTGTGGAGGAGGCAAGGCTGAGTCGGAAGCCGCTGAGTCGGGAGGCGACGCTTGTGGGGGAGGGGCTGTGGGAACGAAATCATGAGGACGATACTCGGGATCGAGATGATGAACCGAGTGCTTCAGGCAACGGGTATCCGAGAGGAAAAGAAGGCGAGCCTGCGGACACTTCGAAAGATACAAGAGAAGGGAAGAGCGGGAAGGGTAGAGGATGGAGGAATAGGTTGAAGAAAGTCAGACGACCTGGTTGAGTAGCGATGGGAGATTTGATACGAAGTAATGCATAATATGAACAAACATATGATTGACATCCGGTCCATTCAACAGGAAAGGCGGTTCTCATCGCGGACACAGTCAACGTCTTGGACATGACATTAATTCGCCGCAGTTTTGCTCCGCTAGCCGACGTTGGGAACCTCTCTCCAGAGAAAGCTCAGAACATGGTCTCCCACGGATCCTGTTTTTGGTCTCCCAGCCTCTTCTCTCATAAGAGTGACCCCTTCTGCTTTGGTGTTGAGCCCACGCCGAATTGTAATAAGGAAGAGAGGAAAGGGCAGAAGAGAGGGTCTTTTATACCCTTCTCGCCCCGCCGTGAGCACCGCGGTCATACCGCCCTAAGGACTATGTTTCTGGTCTTCCGCCTCTCATAGCAATTTAACTTCTTCTTTTGGTATCATGTTTTCAGTAGCCATTCTCTTGAACAGTCGGAAGAACATATGATGCAGGCGTACAACTTTTGGTAGGCCAGGTCGGATCGAGTTGATCATGACGAGCAAGATATATTATTTCGGGAGGAATCGCATTTCATGTTTCTTCTTCAAGATCATGCAGATGATCGTTCAGAGTTTGGGTTGTAGCAAGGCAGCGAGAGGCGAGAAAGAGAACATGGTACCTCGAGGTAAGGTTTTTAGAAGTCGAAGCAAGTCAGACATGTAATGGATGGGATTCGATTTTTGGTCGTCTGCTTTCCATGATTCGAAATCGTCTGACTTTTGGTATTTTGGGTGAAGTAAAGGATGTGTATAGGAGGAGTATGAGGGACAGCAGAAGGAGGGCGCTTTATATGTTCTGGTCTTATGCTCTGTCCAGCGCTACTACGACACAACGCTAACACGCATGTCTCTATTTGAACGTGTGCCCTCGACGCGCACGCGAACATTGAAGTGTTCTTCGAGCATTTTTGACAGTCTGTCACATATACTATTTCCATGCTTCAGACGTATGCATAGGCCTACTTGCAGACGACAGAACACCAGAACATCATTTCTTCCAGAAACTTTTTTTGGCCACAGGCGCACAGGTCAGGACATGATCCGTCCGATATGGACTTTCTGGTTCGACCCGACTCAGATCATATGTTGGATCAGCGATGCCTTTGGTAATGTGTCCCGGAAAGGGTAGGTAGAGAGCAGGAAGAAGAAGCAGAAGAGAAGTGTTCTATACACGCCCTGCTCCCGCAGGGAACGGAGGACATGCGCTTTGACTCAACTTCTTTTAGAACTCGGTCTTCTCATCGCTTCTTTTGGTCTCGCTTTTGGTATCTTAAAAAGGAAGTTTTGTTGATGAAGCATGGAGTAGAAGCAGAGGAGGGTGTATTTTTATGCTTCGTAACCTGTTCCGAGAAACTCCGACATGACAGATGAAGAACATTGTTTTTCGAGCTCTCAACCTCTCATCCGACCAAACTATTCCAGTTTTTGCATTGAGTTTAAACGTAGATGTATGAGAGAAAAAGAGAAAAGCATAGCCAGAAAACAGAGTGTTTTATAGCCCAGCGCGACAAGCAGTGGTAAGAGTGAGTCTTTTAGTCGTCTGCTTCTTATGCACTGGTGGCTGAGCTTTTTTTAGTAGGTATCTCGGGTACAGAGTGTAGGAAAGCAGAGGAAAGAAGAGCATATGCTGAAGTGGATGCGGTTTTGTAGCTGGGCGCGGCGGGGAGCGGACATTGCTCTAGCTCTTGCGAGTTTTGATCTTTCACTTCTCATAGTTTCATTCTGAATTCCTTTCGGTCTTTTGCACGCAGTAATGGATGATGAAGAAGGCGTAGGAGGTATAGGAGAATAGCGGTATTCTAATATAGGTCGGGAGCAGTCGAAGCAGGCCAGCCATCAATGGCTTTATCGATCGTTGTGGTTCTCGCCAATCCTCATCCTGTCGTTTCTGGACATGTTTTGGTCCTTCAAATCAAGACAGAGCTTTATTGAGAGAATGGAGTGAGGGAGAGAAACGTTGGTCTTATAAACGTCTCTCGCTTAGCGCAGGGAGGACGCACATGTCCCGTTTGAGGTATTCATTTAGGCTCTCCACTTTTCATTTCGCGCAAGCATGGCGGATACAATCTCTTCCCCATGCACCTATACTTCGATCATTTGGATAGCTGCAAGTTCAAAGACGGACAGAAACATCAAGTTGAACCAGTGGTGATTATAAACATCGTTACACTCTTCCCTAATCTTTTCGCCAAATCCTTCAGGAATATGCGAACGTCAAATCGAATATTGAGAAAGAAGCGGAAGTCGCAGACATAACTGGGATAATCTTTGTTTTGGAACGGAAGAAGAGACCGTGTGCTTTAGAGTGCAAGAAAGTATCTCGGGATCGACGAACCTTTTATGCTTTTACAGTATGGTAGGCTGGGGGCAACGTCTCCACAAGCATAAGCGAGCGTTGAATGATTTTAGAGAAAGGGCGGAGAAGCAGACATCGTAATGTGCAATTTGGGATTTGGAAAAAGAGTGTAGAATTTAGAGTGCAGCAGGGTAAATTGTGTCTTTGAACTGGGACCTTAGACACGCTTTTATGAGAGCAACTCGATATACCCTGTTGTTCTAGCGACCAAAGACATAGTTAGGACACGTACGATTTTCGAGAGCCAAACTAGGTAGAGACATGCGATGAAGTCAAGGTAGTTTTGGAAGAGGGAGGGAGACGCAGACATCGCGGAGCTCCTGTACGTTTTTGGAAAACTCGAAAAAGCTTGTGAGATGTAGGAGAGAACAACGGTGAGGTGTGGAAGGGGTTTTATACACACACTTCCTGTAGTCGGGTGCAGCAAAGAAGATCATCAATGTAATCAAGCCCCATTTTTAATCTCTCTGCGCAATGTGACGATAGAGTTTCTAATCCATGTATCGATAGCCGTAACTTTTCGCTGTTCCCGAAAAAGAGGAAGTATTTGCATTTGTGGATCTGGAGTGCACATATCAACTGACGATTTTGGTTTTCTTTCTCTCTAGCCATGGCATAAGAGCGAGTACGTTTCGAGATAAGAAGGAGGCGCTCAGGACATGTACAGTTCCCAAATTCCTTTTCGATTCCAGCCCAGCATGTCAATGTAGTAGGAGAAGGACCCAAGAAGAGCGGTATATATATCTAGCCAGCGCCCCAAAATCATCATACATGCGTTTGTCGTTTTTGATGGGCCATATGAGCTTGCTGCAGGCCCTTCTATTCCAGGACCGTTGTAGACAACCCATGATCTTGACGGCCACCGAGTTTGGAGGACAGTGGCGGCTCATGAATTTCTCTTCGTGCTTCTTTGAGTGGAAAGCTTGATGAGTACTTGTTCAAAGACGACAAAGGCAGAACCATGAGTTCAAACTTATGACATTCGGAGTAGACCTTTGCACATAGTTGGGGACAGCGGCCTTTTTGGGGAGATAGATCGATCATGCATCACGCCCCTCCAGATTTGGAACCGAAAAGCGCAGGAGAGACAGCCATGGGGGTTACCCGCGGTCGATTTTGATATTTCAGAAGTGGAATTGTGTGATGAGAAGAAAGAAAGGAGCAGGAGGAACGAAGGCTTTTATATCCGCCATTTCTCGCTACATCAGAGCAGGGCCCGTGCACAAGGAGAGCTCGTCTCAAGCCAAAAGTCCAGAAGCCCCAGTATCTACCCCAACCTGGGCTGCGCTTCCGTAACATAGATTACAGGTTCGACAGCTGCATCTCCTCATGCTCAGCATCTTCTTTTTGGCATCGCTGCTCTAATCGCGTCTTTCAGCCACCCCGGCGATTCCTCCGCGTCCGATTTATCCCCGCTTGTTCTATTCTCAAACACCCTCCCCAACCACATGCCACGCTTCAACATCTTCTCTTGCTCTTCCTGCTCGTCACCCCCCAACCCAACACTTCCCTTCTCAACAACATCCTCAAGCCACGCCCTAAACCCCGGATAAACATACATAGCCGCCACCCCTCCACTAGCCCAAGTAACACACGTCCACTCCATCTGCTCCCACTCCTCTTCACTCCCGGCAAAATCCTTGATCGCAACTCTTACACTGTTCTTTTCGCGTTTACCCAGAGTCTCATCGTCCAGCATCTTCTTCACAGCCTGCTTTATCGGCACAATGGTAGAAGGCGGGAGAAGCCACGTATTATCAATCTCCTGCGTACCAATTTCCAATGCACGACCGATGAGGAAATGCTCTGTCACTTCATCGCAGGCGTAAGCCTTGGCTGTTGGGGCGGGGACGAAAGGCCATTTATCCCATCGAGTGGGTAGGTCGAGCGTGAGGTCAGTGAAGTAGTCTTCTTCTGCAGGGTCGAGCCAGCGTAGTTTGTCGATAGGATGCAGAGGCGTCTGAAGGTCGCCTAGTGGGTGCCCCCAAGGAGAACCAAAACCGTTGCTGATGTTGAGGAAGGTCTTGTAGTCGGCTGGCAAGGTGGTGTTGAGCCGTGTTTCGGCTTCTTCAATCTGCGAGTCGGTGGCTGGAGAGTGAAAGAGGGAGGTTTCAGGGGGCTCGGGATTGACTTTTCTGGCCCCGGCGTTGTATTTCGTGTTGTGTTCGGCTGCTACTAAAAGTTCTTGAATGGAGATGTTTGCTCCTGGTCTAGCTCGACCGTTCGTGAGTCGATCGGTCAAAGCGTTCTCGAAGTCCTTTGCAAAGGTTGCGAGCGCTGCTTCATCAATGTTGAGGTGCTGTCTCAGCGCTCCGCTTTTGTACAACTTCCATGCCTGCCTGGACTCCATCGCCGGCTGAATCTCGTACGAACGTTCTCCCAAACTGTGCGCTAGCCAACGTAGCAACTCATGGGATGGCTGGGTGCCCGACTGACGTAGTGATTCGTCCATCCCGGGCTGTTCATGGTTCGCTTCAGCCCATAAGACCAGGTCCAGCATGTTCACCAGCCCGCTTCTTACGTCTCGCATATTAGATGTCAGACGCCCAGTCTGAAAGTTATGGATGGAATTTATCGCCTTTCGAAGCATTCGAGGAGTAAGGCGTGGGTCATCAAGCGGATAGGTGTGGAGTGCTTTTGCCGGACCTAGCATCCCAGGCAAATCATAACATTTCGACGCAAACTCTTTCGCCATAAGTTGCAGCTCTTCCTGTACATCGTCTGGTTTTACTGTTCCGTCACTTCCCGTTCGAGGTTCGCCGTTGTTCGTCTTTGCTCGTCTGTCCCTCACAGCCCGGCGCACCTTATCTTCTTCTCCTTCAGGCCATGGTGCATCATCTCCCTTCGCACGCAGATCCCAGAGGAACCAAAGGGGCCGAAGGCTTCCGACTCGGTCGTGGTAGAAGTCATAGTTGTTGAGTCTGCCTATCAGGCGCGCTGCTACATCTGTGTAGCCTAGGAGAGCCAGCTCTGGAACGAAACGCGACGTGTATTCATACAGACTGCTATTGTCGCAACGTGATATAAGCGTTTTGAGAGCAGTGTTCGATGAGGAAGACATGTCGGTGTAGTGAGAATGATTCCTGACGCGTCAAAGATAGTCGCGTCGCTTGCGGAGGCGGGACTGACGTCATGTGGAGGATTAGGCAACCAACGACATCACGATGAAGGAGAACACATGAAAAGAACGGGCTTAGATGCAGATGAAATTCAATTGTATGGTATATATACCCGATCAAAGTCCGACAAGACTTGACCGTATGCGCGACGATACCTTCCATCGAAAACAAAACAACCGACCCACGCTTAGACCGAGACCACGACCTCAAGCTCAATCCGATATTCACCCCTTGTACGGCCCTTCTTTGAATTCGCGATGAAATCCACAACGAGCGAGGACGAAACCGATCGCGATCGAGGATGGTGAAGTCGAAAGCAACACTATACCGTGGTGGATGACGCCGGTGTCTCAAAGACAGTGACCAAATACCTAAGTAAGGGTTAGACAGTAGAAATGACAGTAGAAACGACTTGGGGTGCAAAAAATAGTAAGTGTGAACAGTATATATGTCGTTGTAAATAGCTGGAGACAAAAGAGACAGGGAAGGCTGACGGTGGAAATGAGTTGAGACACAAGGAAAGAAACGGTTGACGATGGAAAGGACTGGAAAAGCAAAAGAAACGCGGGAGAAACCTTACCATGGTAGCTAGAAGAGTCGCGTCAAGGTAGTGGTGGTGGTAGTGTAGTGGGTGCAGTCTGCGAACGAGTGGGGAGTAGAAGCGTTGGACTGCGGAGGTGGAGCGATATTGATATACGTGCGTTCGGTCTCCGGATCAACTTCCGACAGCGAGATAAGCGAGACTGGAAAATAGGCAGCAGTCCTATTGTTGGGTCTGAGCTGAAGTGAGAGTGAAGACGGAGCGCGCGCGCTGAAGAGCTGAGCACGGGCCAGAAAGCCGCCGGTGGAGGAGAGAAGAGCTCAAACTGGTACCGACATCAAATAGGAGAGCTAGACGTCCGGCCTGTCAGTGAGCAGACGAGTTAGTCCAAGCTGATAATGAGCCCCGTCACTTGGTGTATGGGGACAGCCTTGTAGTTACCAATTGTGATTACATATCCACGGGTATCATTAATTACAACCGCTCAACAAAACAAATGAAAGAACTCTTCACATCGACCTCTCTTGTATCCTCGCCCCTTGCTTCAACGGCGTCTCATCCCCAAACACACTCGGCGCGGGCGCGTCATTGCTACTCCTCGAGCTACCCTCTACAAAGTCTTTCCTGTCAACATAGTCTTTCCTATCTTCATGTGTGATGTGTAGATCCGTCGTACACTGGATACCACCCAGCTCCAGACTCTCATCACTATCAATCTTGCTCAGCCCCGCGCTGCGCATCTTTGTCGTGTTGCGTTTTGATCGGTTGGTCAGCTGGACCGAGTGCGGTTGGTGCGAGCGCGCGTTGGAGCGGGAGTGCGAGTCGGGACCGGAGGAGCTGTGGAATTCTTCGGGGTTCATGTCGTTTTGCGGCTTGCCTTGCGCGAGGCGGACGACGAGGGAGGCCATGGACATTTCGATGTTGAGCTTGACCATGTAGACGACGGGGTGGAATTGGACGTATACGACTTGGTTCTGGAGGAACATGAGACCGATGAGGAGGGCGTCCATGGCGATGGAAACAACCATTAGCTTGCCGTTAAAGCCTACCAGTGGCGCGTATTTGGTGAGACCGTGTTGTTCGACGAGGCGGATCTTGACGGTTCGCAGGAAGTACCAGTTCAGGCCTGCGTCGACGATTAGGATGAGCACCTTGCTGACCTTGTCCCAGACGTTGTTGATCTTGACGAAGGTTTCGCTGATTGGTGGGACGGTGTGCGATGGGATCCAAATACAGAAGACGGCGATGTTGATGCTGGTGATCAAGACTACTGTTCCCCATTTGAGGTTGCGGATGGTACTTCGGTGTTCTGCGATGAGGGCAATGCGGTTGATGATGATTTGCATGAGCAGTTGGATCTCCCATACCCAGAAGAATAGGATGAAGAATAGAACGGGGACACTGTAGTCTTTGTCAGCGTCGACTCTTTGTCGTGTACTGCAATGCCAGGGAACTCACGTCGGCCCGAGTACATCGTTCAAGAACAGCCATCCGATGATACCGATGATGACATTGACCAGAATCTCACCCCATATCATGTAAATGTAGGCTGATCGGAGAGGGCTGTGATTTCGCCGTGTCTGCTTGACGGCCTCCCATACTGTCAAGAACCCGAACCCAATCGTGAAGCCGGCAGCCAGAGCAGCAAGCTGGAAGTCCTGGACGGTAGCCGACATTGTGTGGTGTAAGTAACGCCGAGGTTGGGGAAGGAGAAGTCGGTCAGAAAGATCCTGATGTATAAGGGCTCAGGGTCTCCAAAACACCCATATATCGCTACTGATCCCGGAAAGGAGGCACGCCCGCTACAGAAAGCACGTTGCAAACTACCGATAAGTTCATCATGGGTGGCTGACTAGCAATAGGATGGCATTAGTGGACGGGACGGCATGCACCGTGGAGCTGTCAACTTAGCAAGCGGCTTGGGTTGTCCTGCCATGCTCTAGCTGCCAATCACCACGTGTAGATGCTACCCGCTAGTAATTGCAAGTGTTCCGAAGGACCCTCGCTTGCGTTTGCGAGTAGACGTGCATTACGGAGTGGACCGGCTTCCTAGCTTGGTATCAAGCAGCGGGACACTGCGCACTCTGGGCTCCGACGTTCAGAGCGCCACATGTAAGTTAGATCTGTCTCCTACCCGAAAGTAAGTGTCATCTTAAACCTTAAATTACACGGCTGACGTGTATCGTGGAACGTAACAAGAATATCGGGTTTTGTTAGTGTTGAAGACGATTACTATTCTAATCGGATAGTGGACGGTCGCCGACTTCATGACATGTAAGTGATGATGAACATAGATGTCGCGATAATACCTCCGAAGGCTGGGATACTAAAGATTTTCCCAAGGTTGCCTTCCTGCGTGGGGCCGCGGATCTTCAGCGCTCATGGAACTCGTCGACGCGAATGCATGAATGCGCGACATCCGACTCCACACCAAGACGCAGAATCTGCACCGCCACTTCGTCAGTCGACCTCTCAGACGGATGGACAACGCCCCTGCACTCCCACTTCCCTGCAATCACTGCAGAAAGCTGGGCGCTGCGGCTCAAGGTCTGCATTTGATATTCACCGGTGGTTGAAACGGAGTCGGTACACGTACAATGCTGATACCCGCATGAGACCACATCGATACATGGGGTCGACTCTGCTGGTGTATTCGGGGTACGATCGTAGCTTCCGTCGCTTCCCCTGATTACATGTGTGAGTATGACCGAGGAAGACCCGCAATTATTCAAGACGATGGTTGCAATTATTCCCGTCCAAGGTGATGCTGAGGTGTTGGTGGCCGACATTGACCGAATGGCAATGTGCAGAGTCATGGAACATCGTATGAGGATTCTGGCTCAGCTGACCATAATCTGCAACCCAACTCTTGTGAAAATACATCCACGTTCTGCAGGTCGCAAAAGAAAACCTATGTGGCGTTGTCTCTTGAGATCCAGTCTTCTGGAATTCTTCCTTTCCAATCGGTGCTTCTCCGGTTTCCGGCAATCTGGCCAAACGCGTCCCTGCCACACGGCTCGCGGTCCGTGCGCAAAGTCTGTCGCTACCCGCAGAGAGCGGGCTTCGAGAGGCCCGGACCAGATCTGGAGGATGAGCCGCATCTTAGATGGACCGAGGATGCGCTCGTATTGCGCAATTGATCTCATCGCGTCCACCTGTACTTGGGGTCCGTCGGAAGATGTGTCAAGGCCAAGGATCGCCACCAAGTCTGTTGATGGAGACAGGCATCAGCTAGTATTAGCAAAGTCGGCGAGCTGGAGCCTCGAGCCTGGCGTGGCGGATCAGCGGGCAGTCGAACTAGGCACGGGACAGTGGTGTGTAGCCTGAGAACGGCAGATTGCATATAGAGCGAAAGAGGAAGTACATACAGTATAAGGTTTATTTGACACTCAGATGCCGTGTTCGTTCTGCGCCTGTCACACCTAGTTCACGCCGTCGTCTATCGCTTCCTCACTCCCGTTGCCGTTCACAGCACACTGGTAAACTTGCGATCAGTCCTGCGCATCGATGCCGAACTCCTCTTGAACTTCGACTATCCGTACGCCCCGCTGATCCGCAATAAGGCCCATCAACCCCTGACCCACATCTTTCAGCTCGTTGTATTCGTGTAGTAATTTGATGTGCTCTTTCACGATTTTGTTTGCGGCTGCCATGACATCGGTCTCAGTAGGTTCATCGCTAGCATCGCCTGATTCGGCATCTGAAAGGGCATTCTCTTCCATCAGCACTTGGATCGCTGGAAGCGCACCGAGAGAAGCCAAGAGTGCAGCTTTTTGGGCTCTCAGATTGTCAAGAGTGATTTCCTGTGGTGTTCTCGATGGAGGTATTGGGATGGGTAATGACAAGCGTTGGGCGGCAGCGTGTGGTTGGGCATGGGTAGATAGTTGAGCGATTGGTGAACTAGCACCAAAACTTGAGCCTGCGCTCTCTCTCGGCAATGCCACTTCTTCTGCGGATGGTTGCTGGTCCGCGGATGTGCTTCGGGAAGTTTGTTCCTGGCCGATCTCAGAGCTAGATCCGTTTTCGATCATGGCAGCTTCGCTAGTGTTGATGTGCATTCGCGCATCAGGAGGCGTATCTTCAGTGTCTTGAGCCCTATGGAGCGTGGAGCTGGTGTAGTCGTCCGGCATGGTCGCAGCAGGACCTGCGTCGCCTGACGAGCCTAATGCAATCCTTGTCGTATTCGACTGCATGCTGGCGGCTGCTGAGGTCGGCCGAGATCGGTCCTAACATATGTGAGCGCGTGAACTTACAAAGTATTGATCTAGGACAGACTACGTTGTCGCTCATGTGTCCATCTACCGGATGATGCTTTACAGCTCGACCCGAATCATCTTTCGACTCACGAGGCAGACTGGCGAGTGTGACAGTACTTTGCGATTGACATGTTGACCCGTTTGGGAACTCAGAATCGACGCTGAACTCTGATGGAGCGAGAGCAGCAGCACCTGGTACCTTCAACGGCGCATCCGCCATTGTGGATTGAATAGCCTCAGCTACTTCCTGTTCGGCAGAAGATGGATTGGCATGGCTTACAAGTGGCTGCTGTTCGTCACCGCGGGCTGAGGGGTCAGATTCGACATCCTTGGCAACTGGATCCCCGTTTTCAGTTGGAACGACCATCACTTGAGGCCCATTTGACATGTCTCTGGTCGTCGATACTGGCTTTTGTGGATGTATTTGTGTGTGGAGTCCCAGACCGTGGCTGCCACCTTCGACAGTCGCTCCTTCCTCGTTTTGCGCTGCAGTGGTCTCATGGGGTATCATGTTAGTCTGATCAATTCTCGACGCGTCGACATGAACTGGAGAATTGATGGAATCGGCGCCCAAGACTTCAGTTGTGCTGGCATCGCGTTCGGCGAATGCTTGTTGGAGGCCATCTGCCTCGCGCGACGCGTCTTGTCGCTCTTGGTACGGAACATTGGACACTGCGCAATGCTTGTCGCCCGCTTCATCCGGAACAACACCAGGTGACGACGTCATCGGATCATCATCCGAGTCCGCGATTTCGGTGACGCCCTTCTCGAAAGTCATGTCGTGAATGGCGAGGCTGAGGCTGCAGGCCGACGATGGTGTCTGAGATGATGGTGTTGATCGCCCGGTCGGAGTGTGGCGGAAGCCAATGACGGTGGCGCCTTCTGTTCACGTAAGCACGAGATTGCGACAACGCCTGCAAGGGAAACAACGAACACACTCGCCTCCCCATTCGGTCCCACCTTAGCACGCGTCTGATGCTACTGTGAAACTCTCAACGCTGCAGATTCCACGATAATCACCTGCTCGTGGCGCCAGCTGCAGCGACCCGAATCTTATTCAGAAATACCGACGGCGAAATGGGCCTCCCTACAAGAGCGGCCCTTGCGGCGCTGCTTTACACCGCAGCAGTCACAGCTCACGACCACGATATGGATGCGATCCCAGATGGTGATGCCATATCACCTGACCCAATAGTGGGTTGACACTTCGACCGCCCTGGTTGAGGCAGCAAGACTGATGGTCGATGTAGGACTCAATACTATGGACGCACATCTTGATCCAAACGGTGGCTTGGGGCATCATCTTCCCCACTGGTATGGTATTAGGAGTAAGTTACCTCAAATCGAGAACCAAGAGTATGGGCTGACAGCAGGGCTAGATAATACGATCGAAATGGCACGTCCCGGTACAATCCCTCGGAACCGTCCTCGCAATCATCGGATACTTCCTCGGCCATAGACACAAGGGCAGGCAGTTCACCGACAACATCCACAGCCAGTTCGTTCCTATCATCATGCTCATGTTGGTATCCCAAGTCGCTATGGGGATCTACCTGAAGCTACACCTGGAGAAGGGCATCAATGGGAAGATACGGCGCGTGGTAGTGAAGGCGCACGGTGTTGTTGGAAAGGCTATGCCAGTGGTCACCTGGGTGCAGTTTCTCTTTGGAGGAATTACTGCCCTCGGCTTCTGCAGGGCGGACCACACCGGACAATGTCTGGCGCACTTCATTATGGGCAGCGCCTTCATCGCATACGGCATCATTCTCCTTATCCTACTTCTAGTCGGACAGATGTGGCTGCGGAGGACCGGAAGGAGCCAGGAGTTCTTCGATTCGCTCGTAATCGCCGCCTGGGGTTGCGTCAACACCTTTACCGAACACCGTTGGGGAGGACCATGGGTACACAACGACCTTCAGCACACATCTATGGGCATCGTATGGTGGGCTGCGGGCTTGGTCGGTGTCTGGCTCAGCCGCAAGCGCAATGGTCAACCGAAGCGCAACCTTATCCCCGGTATCATCATCCTGATGACCGGATGGGCCATGTCTGCGCACCCACAACATCTGCCAATTTCGACTATGATCCACACCATCTTCGGCTACACCCTCATGGCTGCAGGTGCCGCGCGCATCATTGAGATCTCATTCGTGCTCAAGGACCGCGCTTCTGTCGCAACCGATGGCTCGGACCCGAACAGCTTCCAGTACCTGACGCCGTTCCTGCTCATGGCTGGTGGGTTCATGTTCATGGGCGCCACCGAGGAGCAGATGAAGCTGCTGTCCGACGCGAACGTCACCCACGTATCCTACGTGCTTATCCTCTACAGCATCGCTTTCTTGCTATTCCTTTGTAAGTCTCTCCATATAGCTCACCACTATCTCAAGCTAATTCGTGTCTAGTCGTCAACATGCTCATCCACCTCTACGCCGTATACACTTGGGAACAAGACGACAAAGCCGATGCTGAAGCGCCCCTCACGAACGGTCATGCGAACGGACACATCAATGGATACACAAGGGTCGATCGTAGAGTGAGAGACGCCGAGGAGTTCGAATTGGAAGGTCTTGACTCAGACGACGACGATGAGGATTCATCGCGTCTGAACAAGGAGCATAGATCCCTGGCTGCGCAGCATTAAGCCGCTTTTCTTTCTCGTTGACATGGACGCATAGAGCATACAGGAATACACGCATAGAGCATACAGGAATACACGCATTTTATTTTGATAGGCGGATCAGTCCATGCAGTACATCGCCGCGGGATAGACCTTATGATAGGTGGCTGCATATGTGTCCTCCACCGATGAGTGTAAGATCGTTGTGAGTGGTTGCCCACTGCCAGCCTGGCATGCACGCGCTGCGCCTCGGCCTCAGCCTCCCTCATGCCCCCCTCCTTTCGTGTGCTTTCCTTTCTCTCTCCTTCCACCCACGTTCCGCGCACCGAGGTCTGCGATGGCAGACCCATTTTCTATCACCGGCAGCGCCGTCGGTGTCGTTTCCCTCGCCATCCAAGTCTGCAAAGGCCTGGAATGGTACTTCAGCGGCGTCAAAGAAGCGAAGAACAAGGCTGAACAAATCGCCGCGGAAATGGAGGAACTCGCGAACCTACTTGAACGACTTGAATCCGTTATCGGAAAAGTGGATTCATCCCAGTCGGTGTCAGCAACACGCACCGGCATCGTCTCGTGTGCGAACGCCATCGCGACTATCAGGAAGAAGCTTAAACCAGACGACCAAGCAGGAGACGGCGGGATCAAGTCCAACTTGAAGAGGTTGACGAAGCGGCTGGCTTTTCCGTTCAAGGAGACGGACATCAACTACTGGAAAGATGTTCTCAACACCATACAGCAAAGTTTACAGACTGCGCTACTCGCCCTTGTCATTGACCAACAGCGCTTGGCTTCTGAGAATGCTCGGTTGCATTACACCCAGCTATCCATGGACCAAAGCATACATCACTTCTCGAGTCTACAGCTGCAGCGCGATGTATTCGATGCGACAAGTCTTCAGCTCGCTGGACAATCGCACATGCTTGAATCGGGATTTTCAGCCACGTCGCACAGTCTTCAAAGTCTCCATACCGGTATACACAGTTTACAAGCAAAGCTCGACGAGATATCGCTCATGAAGGAGTCTACACTTCAAACCGACGTGAGGAATCTCAGATCGCTTCACCGGAAAGACCGAAGGATGAGACATCGATATGCAAAACTGCCATGTACATGCCGACCGCAAACCTCTGCGCTTGGCTATCGCACGGGACTGTTCGCTCTCACATGTACACGAACGTCTATGCACGACGCAGGGTGTCCTCAAGCTCCACTCCATAACGCGGTGACGGATCTGCAGCTTCAAGCTACATTGTGTAGTCTTCTTCTCGGGAAGAAAGTCTTGCTGTCGTTTCAACTATCTTATGGCGCTGGATTATCGACCAAGCAGAATCTGGAGTGTCATCGCGTTGTCGAATGGTCTCCTGCTTTCGAATTTGCCATGACAGTTGTCGAGTCTAGTATGAACATGCCAATGGATACTTTTCGGGGCGAGGTCGAGAAATTGTCTATGATGTTCCAGCTGAGACAAGCATCGCCACATGATCGACTAACAAATGGGACGACGCTTCTACATGTATGTATACAGCCCTTATCTTTACGCGATGCAAGCTGACCACCAGCATAGGAAGTTTGTAACAACATCGAGTTTTTGAATCCTTTCGGGAGCTTTGCCGACACCTTTGAGAACCTTGCTTATCTGTTCAAAATCCTCCTCCCACTAATGCCAAGCGAGGCTTTCGAGATAGACGACAATGGAGCGTAAGTATTCATTGACCCTTGTTCTATTTGAGATTAATCATCACTCGTCGTGCTATCATACCACCTCGAAATGTGACAACACTAAGCGTGAACAGTACATGCCTCGACACTCTCATAGGATGTCCCACCTCTGTCGACGACAGAGAAACCCACATAAGTCTCTTAAGATCACTATTTGAACAAGATCTGCAGATAACACGGTTTACCTACAGAGACGCAGCACGCAGAAGCCACGAAGGGGTAGCAGTCTTGGCCGGGATTCGCTACGAAAATTTCATCAATCCCTTACTAGATGACAGCGAGTTACTAGAGGCAGTTTTCATGAAGTCGGGCCACCGACTCCGTGGTTTCTTACACCAGCCCAGGGATTTGCACGCCCTAAATACCGAGACTCTCACCGACGCTCTGATCATGTCTACCATTACTGGTTGGGTGGATGGCTGCAAAATCTTGCTTCATGCCAATTTGATGGCACATCAGGAAGACCCAAGCTCTGTTGCGTGGAGCTCCGAGCAAACTTTACTCTCACTCTCAGCATCTACAAATCGACTGGACATGGTGCAATTCTGGTTGTCACAGAGGGAGATGTGCGACGAACAACAGCTCAATTTGATTGGCCACATTGAGGACGCGCTTTTTCCCGGTCCATGGCCGGGAACAGGATTTCCCTCTACGGACGTGATTCAGCTCGTGTTAAGCTATCTCATCAAGCAAGGGCACGAGGTCAAGGTACTGATGGAAATGCATGAACTTGAATATTGTTGTGAATGCGCCCGGACAAGCTTACCAGATACGCATCTGAGTTGCATGCTGACTGCACTAGTTACGGAGGGGGCTGGCGTGCCCCAACATTATTGGCCCAAACGAAAAAGCCTTTATTACATGCCACACATGTGGGAGTTCGACGAACTCAAATTGTTCGAGTCTTTTGAACTGGCCGGCATTGGTGATATCAGTCAAGAGAACTTCAAGTGTGGCAATGAGACAGCATGCTCTCCATTGGTGTATCTGGCCACGCAATGTTTGGAGACTATGAAGCGTAACAGGTCAGAGTGTTTGAGTGATCGTGACAGAACAGTCCGATGGCTTGTCTCAAGAGGCGCGGATCTGAGAGAGACATGGCCAGGAACGAACACCACCGTCGTACATTGTTTGGCCTGGCAATCTGCTGAACTTCTTGAGGTCGGACCCGCATATTCCGATGATCCTCCTAACATGAAAGACGTCTGGGCGTACGAAGATTATGAGGCTCTTGTAAAAGAGGATATACTTGACGAATGCGAGTGTGCATGTAGCAGGTCCGGGTGCGACTTTCTCTCATGTTTCTGGAAGGGGATACTCGCGAATTATTCTTTTTGTCGGCGGTTTCCTCTCATCTGCGAAAAGTTTCAGGACGCAACTCTGGTGAGGGATCTGGAATGTGTCAGGTTGTATGTAGTTGACGAGACGTACGAAGAGTTTCAATGTAGTGTCTTCATGAGGATACTACTTGATCTGACCCTATGGACTGACAGCGCGGCACGCACACTCGGTCTCTCTCGACTCATCCATGGTTATATCCGCCTCTTCGTGTTCTCATACCTAGAGATAAGACATACATGCTGCGACATCAATCGCATTCGTCACTGGGACGATCCTGATTACACCAAACGACCATACCCTCGGTATTCTCCTAAGGAGTTACGGCGCATAAACGAAGAGGACGCACATCTGCGCGCACGACTGGAAGAGCTTGTACCCGAGCTCATCTCTCAATACGACTCTTTCGGTGGACAGCTCCAGGACTTCGTCATCGACGTTCTCATTCCGACAATGCGCAGAACTGCGAAGGAGTTGAAAGAGGAAGACAAGACACTGTACGCGGCGGGGCGAAGAGAAATGGGTGTTGTAATGGATGAGTATGAAGATGAATCCGAAGAGGAGGGGAATGATGTGGACAAGGAAGAGGCCGACATCGAGGAAGAGTCGGACGACGAGTACTAAAATGATCTCATACACTGTTTCCTTCATCATAATTTGAGAGTGCGCAGGCGTTTGGATATGATCAGTAGAGTGCACACTTGGCTTCAGTCGCTTCAGCTATCACATAGGCACTGGCAAGAGCAACGCAACAATGAACAAAGTCTTTCCGTATATTATTAGATATTACAAAGTATCAGAGCCACTGTACCAGCTCCTCCTCGGCGCCACAAATCGTTCGTCGGGGTATAATGCACCAGAAATTCCACTTTTGTCGCTCGAAATTCACTTTTTGGTCGTCGTCGTGTCGTCGTTGGTATCCTCCTCTTTTCTTTCTCACTCTTCATCCATATCGCCATGTACTCTCGTTGTCGAAACACTATCTACAACGCCTTTCCGCCAGTAGTGTTCACCGCAGTCGCAGTGCCACATCCGTAGCTAGCCATGTACGCAGCGTTGACGCTCTTGTGGTGCTCAACAGCATGCCTCTTGACGCCCTCCCACATCTTCTTGATGCTGAGGTTAAGCTTGTGCTGTGTCTTCTCTTCTTGGTTAACGAAGTGGTGGGCGTCGTGTGCTGACTCGTGGGATTGGCGGCGAGACTGCGCGAAGGGTGTTGTGGGGGTGGAAGAAGATGGGGTTGAGGCGGAGGAGAGCGATAGAACGCGCGGGTGGCAGTCGAAGTTGTTCATTTTGGTGGTTGGTTGTTTGGTTTCAAGGTACCGAAGATGTGTGGAGAGTATGGTGGTCTTGAAGTTGAAGATGGAAGTGTAGTAGTAGACTTGATAATGGCTTGATGCTGATGCTGATGCTCCTCCACCTAACCCACCTCCCCACCCCTTATATACCCCATGGCACCACGAAGAAATTTTCCACCCTTTCCCACCACCACCCAAACGATCGTGAGATCTTGGACACACACACTCCACGTGCACCGTGACTGATTTTTCGCAAAGGTCGCACATGTGGGTCTAGCAAGGTAGCATCGCCTCGCGCTGGTTACCACCGAGTGTCTAGAAGCCACAGGAACGCACACCGGAAGACGTCATCATAATAACCCTTCGCATGTGCCCTGACTAAACCTCTTCAGACCAGAATCACCCCAAGAATAGCTAATGCGCATGGCATGATCTCCGTTAACCGCTTAGCTCCCGCGAGGCTCTCAGGAGAACGTGGTGAGAGGCGTTGTCGGCTGGCGTCGGCTCAGCCTCAACAGACTTTTTATACCGCAGGGTCCCACTGCGACAACCATCACGTTGTTGACTTTGACACACGAGTTACCTCTAAAGGCTATTTCGTGTGTCATAGTCGCTGTTTGCGCAAAATTGCATGTTTCGTCGTGCCTGGAAGAAAGAGAGGGATTGGTCGTTAGTTCAGCCACGCCATATCCTGTAGGGCGTGCGGCCCAACGAAGCTTGGTTGCGTGAGCTGGAATGTTCGCGATGGTGCACGTGGATTCGCGATTAATGGCGAGACTGATTTCCAGGTACTGAGCATTTGAATGCACAGACTCGAAGTACATTTGCGGAGTGGTGATGCGGAGGGCGGGTTGCGAATGTCTCGCGGGCGCTAGCAAGACGTGATGTTTGCCGTTTCCGTCGGATAGCCTTTCCGTTGGAAACATCGAGTATCGCCTCACCGATTTTTTCACACCTTGCAAAACTAGACGAAAGACTTGCCATTAATTCGAAGTTGCGGCGATTACGCCGCGGCGGTGCGACGTTTGGCGACATGCTGGCCTGATCATTCATTGGCTTCAAACGACTTTTGGGAGTAGTAATTTCTATTCCAAATCACTACGACTACGACCTAGCCGTATTCCTCAACGTCTTCTGTATACAAGCACAAAGCTCCGGTATCCTGAACGGTTTGCTTATCACATCGTCCATTCCCGCCTTCAACGCCACTTCTACCTGCTCGCTCCTCACATTAGCCGTCACCGCGATGACCGGCACGTGCGCTCTAACAACGCCTTCTTTCTGGAGCTCTCTAATGTTCCTAACACATGTCAACCCATCCATGACAGGCATCTCCCAGTCCATGAGGATGAGTGCGAGTGGCTTTCCAGAGCCATCGGAGATGCAGTACTTTGTTGTGCGCAGATAGTCAAGAGCTTCTCCACCATGATTCGCGACTGCGACCTGCATACCCGTGTTCCGTAGCTGCTTGGCCAGAACACGCTGGTTTACGAGGTTGTCTTCGACGATCAGAACGTGCAGGTCTTTGTTGGGTATGTCGTTCGCAGGAGCGGAGGCTTGGGGTGGTTCATCCGATTCGTTGCGCGATCGACTTGAAAGCAGCGTCTTTTGCGCACGTATGCTCAAGCTAACGGCCGCATCGCTTTCCGATCGGTTAAAGTTGGGGCGAATAGTGCTTCTGCGACTCTTCACGTAGAAGGAAAATGTGCTTCCGACGCCGGCTTTAGATGCGAAGCCGATAGCGCCGCCGTGCATCTCAGTAAGTTTTCGTGAGATGAAGAGACCCAGACCGGAGCCACCTAAGATAAGTCAGCAAGTCGTTCAATCGCCTTCAAGGTTCATAATCACCATAGTCGATATGTGTGCGCGGAGACGCTTGCGAAAAGCGTGCGAAAAGGAGCTGGTGTTCTTCGTCGCTCAAGCCACGACCCGTGTCCTGCACGGAGAAGATGATGTAGACCTTTCTGCGTTAGTGGAAGACCTGAGACATCGCCTTCAACATCAGCTTACTATCTCGCCCTTCTCCCAATCTGCTTGTAAAGTCGCTGCTTCTGATGTTTCCGAACTACGGGAGAATGGCACGCTGAAACTGTGGGTCGGCTGCTTCAGGGAGACGCCCAGACTGACCCTGATCTCGCGTATCTCCTCTAGTCGGGTGAATTTGATTGCATTGGTGATAAGGTTCTTACTTGTCAGCCGAAGCACCTCAATATGTCTCACGTACTTACGATAAGTATCTGTAAAACCCTTGTAGGGTCTAGCGAAACGAGATCAACCGCGACCTTTTTGCATGATTCTTCGAGCTGGAATCGCAAATCCACACCAGCTGACTTGGCTTCACCTTCGAACATTTTCACTGCGTCTCTCGCGATTGAGTCGAATTTGACGTCGACTGGGGTCATTACAAATAAACCCGAGTCCAGCTTAGACATGGTAAGCACGTCGTCCACAATCGTCTTCATGTGCTTCGAGCACTGGACAATGGTTTCGGCAGCGTCAACAGTAGTCTCCAATATGGTCTGATAGACCTTCTGATAATCTGTCGACTTGCTGAAGTTCTTGTGAGCCGAGATAATACTATCTGCACACTGGACGATCGCGGACAGAGGATTTCGCATCTCGTGTGATGTCGTGTCGATGAAGTTTTCCAGACTGCGCTTGGATTCTCGGGCCCTTGTTGCCTGGGTAGCCTGAAGTTTCTCTCCCCATTTTTGCTGACTGTTCAAAGCCTCAGTTAAGCATAGCGACATGAAGGAATGGCGTACCTGATGTCGGTACAGCAACCGATGATCTCTACTACTTCTCCATTTTCATCGAGCTCAGGGAAGATGGATGTGATAACCCACATTGGCTCCTGTTCGGGGAATGTATCATCCATATGCTGGGTAGGCGCATTCCACCTCTTCTTGAGACGCAACTCAAATGATCTGGTCATCGTAAGCTTTGTCGCACGTCATGACGTACCTATCACTTACTGATGCTGTTTGGTCTCGACAAGTTCCTCAAACTTTGCTTGTCCCATTTCGACGAAGTCATCGTCGATAAGCTTACTCCACGCGTCAGCGAGATCGGTTGCAGGATCCACTGGACCAAGCATCTCAAACCAAGCTTCGTTCCTGTACGAATAGACACCGTCCATTCCTATGAGAAAGATGCCAATATCGGCACGCTCTGCGAAGCGTTTGAACTTGGAGAAATTGCGCTCAGACTCCGCTTGGGACAGAGTCAACTGTTCCTTTAGCTGCGATTTCATTGCTTCCGCGTTTGCGATAGTCCGTTCTCGACGCCCAATGTCCTCTTCATGGAGTAAAATTGATGTTAAGCAGGTAGAAAGCAGGCGACTGGCGACCATTATGAATTGGAGATAATCTTCGTCAAATGGCCGACGGGGATTAAGCCCAATGACCATGAAGCCAAGAATATTGTCTTTTGAAGAAGTCGGATTTAGAGGGCAGATGGCTGCCGCTCGGCAGGGATCACCGAAGCCCTGCCACTCAACGTCCTTGACCAACGCTGCCGCCACAGGATCCTGATCGAACCGAATTATGATCGGCTTCCGGGCAGTAAGAGCTTGGCGAAAGTATGGAGTAAAGCCATGGTCTTGTTGGAAGTCTAGATGATCGGGACCTGCGGGCGACCCTTTCGGAAGACCGAATGAGCCACGAAGCTTGCAGTGTTGTTGATTCGTATCGGAAAAGCGCGTCCTACTCGATTCGGACCCATGCCCGTCTGCTTCAGCCGAATACAATAATGCGAACGGAATATCTTTATCGTTGCGGGATAGGACTTCGGTGGCGAGAACCCAGTAGGTATCCGTGTTGCGCGCCCGGGGTATCTCTTCGCTTAGCTCTAGGAGAACGCGCGAGCGTCTTTGTGCAATGACTTGTCTAGTCTACAGGACTGTCAGCAGGTTGCACTAATGGCTTCGCAGCTTCGAATATGGCTCCCAAGAGTTGCGACGGCATGCTAGTGGAAGGATCCATGCTTCCGTGAGTACCATCCTCATCCGTACGTAGCGTCAAATGCGCCACTGGAAGAGCAGGTGCCCAAAATATGCGCTGAAAGTGCGAGAGTTGCAACATACCGTTTCTACCAGGGGCTCATAATGCCCAACTGTGATACCCTCAGCATCTAATATGGGTATGAACTTTAAGGAGAAGTACGTCTCTTCCATGAAACCGCTGCGTACCATGTGTATCGAGGTGTTCGTCTTTTCCACGGTTTCTCCTGCGAGGTTGGTTTGTATGATGGGTTCAAAATACTGGTCCCAGACTGAAGCAAGCGCGACGCGAGCGCTGACTCCCATGCAAGGGTGGAAGCCACCCAACAGCTCTATCTCTGCTTCGTTGTAGATCATGATCAGATCCGGACCGTAGAAAACAACTGCTGGCCGTGGATCTTGCATGACAAGATTGGCAATACTGCGTAGCTGTGACGACCAGGAAGACATTGGGCCAAGAGGAGTGGAGGCCCAGTCAATGCTGCGCGCCCAGGCTGCATGTCGTGACAACCGCAGAGGAGGAAGTTCATCCGTCCAATCGAAGTTTGGTACTTTCGATTTAGAAGTTTTTCGAGTGAGAGTGGTCATTCCAGAGCCCTCACTGCCGGTGCATGTGGTCGCCAAGAGACCGCTTATGACATTCCAGCGGCCAGCCACATGGATCTTCATCCAGTTGAACCCATGATAAAGGAACGGCTTCTCCGATGTGTCGTGTGTCAAAGACCAGCTTCGAAATTTTGTAAATGGGGCATAGCCTTCTTCATTAGCAGAGTACGCACCACCATCTCGGCTTAGTAGTTGCAGTAGCCCTCCAGGGTCGGTGGCGGCCATGGCCGAATTCCAATACTCCAAATGGCATCCATTTTCGGACTTTGGGCTACCTGGCGATGTATCGATAACGAATGTAGGTCGTGGATCTTGGTCCAGCAAGTCCAGCATGCCGATGCGACGCAGGGATGACGTGCCATTCTGAGTTGGTTCGAGGGGTCGCTTCTCGCGTGCAGGCAAGGCCGTCATGATAGGCCGACTCTTGGCGTTGCATGTGGCCGTCTATCCTCCTCTTGCGCAGCCGCTATTGAAGATGATGTCGTGACAAACGTTGCTCTCGTCTCAGCCATGTGGAACGCTGTCATGGGATTCTGGGTGCGCTTGGAAAAGTGGAATTCGATCTGAGTGCCTAGGCCAGTCCTGTGGATCAGCCGCATGCCGCTGGCCGAAAATAGCGCCGATCCCGTGCGATACCCAGGTACCTAGAGATCGCTTCAGGCTCATGAATTTCGTCTCTCCATCATCACCTCCATCGCGAGCATAGATGTTCTCATCTACGCCCAGTCAGAAGGAGCTGCCAAGATGACGACAGGCTCTAAGCGATGATTCGTTATCCATCCATTCCTTCCAAGGTTGCCTCCGCCGCTTCTCAATCACTAGCTATCGCATCCGCAGCGTCTAGCCGTCGTTTCTGGCTGCACAAATTCCCGGTACAGATCTGAGAGTTAGAAGACGACCTCCTGGTACAGAGTAAGGTACTTGTATGAGGTGCGATGCGATGCGATGCGATGGCGAAGACAGCGCACCCGCGCGGCAGCCTTGCACTACACGAAACTAGAGACAACCGCAAATCGGCTGCGATGATACTGCTTCTCGGCATGGACTATGGACCTTATCAAGGCAACGACCTTCCATGCTTACCACCTTCATGCGGAGCCATTCCAACTTGGATAAACGAGCGTTGGTTATTACCGATTATATTTGATGGGCGTATTGCCATGATGCAAGGCTGCGCAGCCGTGGCCAATCACGAGATTTCGACACAGACATTACTGGCCAAAGCCCTTGGCGCATGTGCGACGACAGCTTGGAGTCCCATAGTGTCAGCATAAGATGGGGGGCGCTTCTCAGCCTTGCCCGTACCGTTGTTCAAGAACCCCACATGCCCGTGGTCTGCAAGTCTGTCGTCTTTTCACTTTACTTTTAAGCGTCTCTGTCTTCAAGTGGTCGTTATTACCTACAATTTGCCGTGAGGAAAAAGCCGTTGACGAGAGACGAATATGCCAATTGTATCAAGCAATACTTTCCTTTCGACTGTCACGATCTGTAGACCGACCACTCTGAGTGTCGTCTCGCCGTCATCACAAGCCCTAAAGCTTGTTAAAAGGGAGTTACTTTGGTCGCACAGCGAGGTTTTTGTAACGCCGTTCGGAACATTGTCAACACTCGAGCATCCGAACGTACCGGACCTGACAACGGTGCACACTCCAGCATCGTCATGCATCGATAGATGGATGGTACAGTCATCACAACAGTGTGGTGATGGAAGCAGTACAGGTGACACCGTCTGGTCTGTAAATCCTACACGCTCGATCGTGTCCGATCCATCGTACAATGGATGTCAGCTCTACGGCAATCCCACGTACAGTCCAGGAATTTGTCCGAGTGGGCAAACTATCGCTGAGGTGACCGCATACGAAAGTGGTGTGTCGAATGGAACCCGGACCTTTTGGAAAGCGAGTTGTTGCAGAAGGTATGGTGCTATCGCTACCTTAACGTCTGTCTCCGAGCTGATGTACCATGAACAGCGGCATGAGCTTTGGCTCTGAACTCGCTGATGTCTGCCTGTCCAGTTTCTCGACACCGTTTCGTGCTTATGCTGCCATCATAACAGCGCCCGCGTTTGATGGGGAAGAAGTCACACCAGTATACGAGTACACAACCACCTATGAGCCAAGCGGAAGTGTACGCGAGACATCGGTCATTTCAGATGTCACAACGCTTGCAACTGGTCTAGCCGTGGCCGATCCCGTCATAGTGAACTGGCAGATAGATGATGTTGACACATTTCCAAGCGAGTACGTCAAGTCTTTGGTTGCGAGGTATAGCGTACCCGCACCAGCCGGCACGTCCACACCCACAGTCAACGCATTGGAGCCAACAACCGTACCCGCACCATCATCATTACCCGATGGTCTCAGTACCGGTGCCAAGATAGGAATTGGATTAGGGGCGGCGGTTGCTGCCGCTCTCGTCGGAGGCTTGCTGATATTTTGGTGTCTACGACGACGTCGGGAAATTCATGCGAACGATGTTGTCATACCGGAGATGGAAGACCAGGACTTCACAAAGAGTCAGCGTAGGTGGTACCTGGGCGGTGGGTGGAGGAACGAAGCAGATGCCCAGGCGACCCAGAACGAGCTTGACTCAAAGCCAGTGCATGAGTTACATCAACCACCGGCTGAACTGGAGGCACACGAGCCTGCTGTCGAAGTCGCCAACGCTACGCTAGAGGTACAGAGAAACAGCCTAGAGGGCGTACGCAATGATGACGGTCCTCACGAGCGAGCGTGAACCTCACAAGATGCGAGAGGAAAGGGCAGTTGACGACGGCGATACGATTTCTTGAGGAACACGCACAGTCTTTCTTTTCCCCATTGGCGGGTCACATGTCGCAATCGACATTGTTCTGTATCAAGCGACCCATTCCTTAAGATCATGTCTCCCGCACTACGTACTCCCTTAGTTCTCGTCGCAGCTTCATACCATCCAGAACTACCTAGGTAATTTACAACTCGAGGGCATTTTGACAGCAATATGCAGCTCCAAGCAAGCAACGAACTAATCTCCGCCTCGGCATCACCCAATCTCCATCTCGGCCTCGCGTATCACCATGAAACAAGCTTCTATGAGCAGGGAGCGTTTCATGAATCCTTCATCACCAAGCCGCTCGCGCTAGACCCAGTGAGGCATCGTGTGGGCCAGACTAAGGCCGATTCGGGCTTGGTGTTGCCGACGCGAACGTTTCATAGCGGAATTTCCACCACCAAACGGCTGTCAAGCCCTCGGCGTCCTGTCAGAACTGTTCATTCTTGCGTGTACCGCTCGCGCGATACTCAATATGGGCGCGCGCGTTTCCAAAATATTGACATGCGATGCGTTCACGCCGTCTAGATGCCGAGTAATGATTTGCAGGTGTATGCGTTGAGTCAAGCAGCCTTCTTATATGGTCTGCTGCATCTTCTCCTGCTGATTTGTTCGTGTTGTTCATTCGCTCACTACTGTCATTCATTCATTGCTTTCGTAGCATTTACATTCGCTTTTCATCAACATACAGGCCGGTCTCTGTTTTTTACCTTCGAACAAATAGCTTCAAGATGTTTGCCAAGACTACTCTCATGAGCGCGATGCTCAGCGCTGCGTCTGCCGGTAAGCTATCTATATCCTCCATTAGTCCGAAAAATACTAAATGCGCATTTAGAGATGATCTGGGACGGTCGCTTCAACGACTATGCCTCCTCTGCCGACATCGCCAAGTGGTCCTTCTCCAACCCCGTCGGCGCCTACCAATACTACATTCACGGCTCCGGCCCCGTGACCGACTACGTCAACCTTGACACCACCTTCAAGAACCCCGCCGACACTGCTTCCAAGCAGGGTGTCAAGATCACCATCGACGAGACCGCGAAATGGAACGGCCAGACTATGCTGCGCACCGAACTCATCCCCGAGACCAAGGCAGCCATCAACAAGGGCAAGGTCTACTACCACTTCTCCATCAAGACTGCCGCCGAGAATGCCCCGATGGCCACCAACGAACACCAGATCGCTTTCTTCGAGTCTCATTTCACTGAGCTCAAGTACGGCGCCTCGGGCTCGTCCAACACCAACCTTCAATGGCACGTTGGAGGTGTCTCCAAGTGGGATGTTGAGCTCGTCGCCGACGAGTGGCACAACGTTGCGTACGAGATCGACTTCGATGCCGGCTCCGTTGCCTTCTGGCACTCGACTGGCAGCGACGAGTTGAAGCAGACGGCCGGACCCTTCGATGCGAGCACCTCGTCCGACGGTAAGGACTGGCATCTTGGTGTTCTGAGGCTGCCTGGTCAGGCCGACAAGGACGGTGCTGAGGATTGGTTCTTCAGCGGTGTATACATTGAGGATGGAGAGCTTACCACCAAGATTGGTGGTGGAGCTGCGGGTGCGGCTCCCGAGAAGCCTGTCCCCACTACCATGTCCAAGGTTGTCTCTTCTGCTGCGCCTGTTGCTACTTCTTCCAAGGCGGCTGCTAGCTCATCCGTTGCTGCCGCCGAGACTCCTGCTGCTTCTTCGAGCGCCGTCGTCTCTTCCTCCGCTGCTGCTTCTTCGGTTGCTGCCCCAGTCAAAACCCCGGCTGCGTCCTCTTCCGCCGCGGTTACCAGCGCTGCTCCTGTTGAAACTCCTGTCGCCTCTTCCACCTCATCTGCCGCCCCCGTAGCTAAGCCTACTGGCAGCGCTGGCTCTGACGCTGTCCTCCCCGAGGAGTTCACCATCGCTCAGTTCGTTGCTTGGCTCAAGGCCAAGACTGGCAAGAACTAAGCATGTGTCCAGCGTGAGTGCAGCTCCGAGTAGTCAGCCAATCGGCACCCCATACATTCTTGTAGATATTCTTTGTTCTTATTAGCTGTTGCAATACATTGTTCGCAGTCCTTATCTTGTATCTTGTGGGCCATGCTGGTGGGCATCCGTATCCGAGTGGTAGGTCGGCATGTTTCATAAAGACCCGTATACGTTTCCCTGCACTACTGCTTGTTCTCCTCACCTTGTGGTCCTCTTGCCTTACAGTCTTTTCTCTTTAACGTCGCCACTGCACCAGCACTTCCTTCGTGCGCGAATGCTCGAACGTCGGAGCACACTCTTTCATGACCCCCGCGAAGACACCACGTGGGTTTTGATCGACCAGGGTGATCTGCAACAACCTATATTAAGAATTGCGATTGCGGAGGGACGGAAGGCTTCCCGTATACCTTGTTCACGGTAGAGAGCAACGGCAAGACTCCAGCTGGCGCCGAGGGCCTCGATCTATAGACCACGATATCAGTTTCGAGTGTCGCCGAATTGCGCATACTTTCAGCAGACCGGAAGCGGTAGGTAGGGAAGTCAGCAGTTCCGAGCCGTTGCATCCGTCGAAGAGTGGTGGAAACCACAACCGCCGTTGCAACCGGAAATACTATGTAAGCCGGCTTCTACCATCTAGACACTTCCAAGGCCGTGTGGCGCTGCAGGCATTGGATTAGTATCCAGCGTTTCGACGTTCTGTCATCATCCGAGTATGAGGCCGAGTTGCTACGCTGCGAACGCGGCCCGACCTATTCATCCTGAGTTTGTTCTTGGGGCTGTGTTGCATCATCTCGTTCTGTTGCACATAGCCTTTTCTCAGTCGGATTCAAAGTATCTATAACACTGATACCTTCCTAAGGTACCTATCTAGGTAGATACGAAACATCCGCGACGATCTCTAGGTAAACGCGAACCAATTGCGATAACGTCCGCATTGACGATCGAATTTCTCGACCCCAGACCATCGATTTCCTGCAAGATGAGAGGGGAATTTGTAGGGACTCGCCGGGCTGTCAGTGAAGCTTGTCAGGCCCGCACAGGGTGCACACGAGGCCGTGCGCTATTTCCGAATCGAGTCGGGACATTTCAATCTTGGAAAGCCTCGAAGATGCTAGGCACAAGGTTTACGGCAAAACGCGACCTTAACAATACGAATGCGAAAGCTGCGAAAACAACCTTTGCGATGTGTGCTACCTCAGGCTGGGATCGACCATGGACAAACGTTGGGCGCGGCCGTTGCATGCCACGTGAATGCGTGGCGCATGCCAAGATAAGGTTTGCTAAACATGGTGCTACCAAGTCCCACGCACCCGGTCCTACCTGGGTGACGTCGGCCAAATGTAAGCATCCCAGCCTCATATTCGTTGCGACGTATCGCTCGTCGTACATCAGTCGCATCTCGAACGGCGCCTCTAACCCCTTCCCAGCTTACCTGGTCAATGCGCTTGCCTCATCTGGGACCAACGTCTCTCGAACAAGGCCCGATCAATACAGGCGAGACAAGGTGCGCAAAGACCTTCTGACAGCCTTGCAACGAATAATAAGCAGAGGATGGTGAAGAACAGGTCGTGATCCGACCCCGGGGAACGACGTAGGCGACTCTAGGGAGCCGGGACAATCATCCGCAACGTAGTCCAGACCCTCCGGTGGTCTCTAAGCCGAGCACACATTCTACAATGCAGTTTCACCGTCCGGAGTTACTTTGGGAAGACCATCTCAAGCGTCCGCTCATGCAGAATAGTAAACTCACTCACAGCTGCCGCTGGTCTCCGGGGCTAGAGCGATGCCAGTCGACATGTGTATATAAGCCTGGGGGAAAGATGTGTTTTCGAAGCATCAATCACGACGAGCTCATTACATTCAAACAATCTCCCCTCTTAACCCTGTCTCGTCATTACAAGTTTTCCTTCCTGTCACAATACACATCACAGCATCACGAGGATGTCTACTCGCACCATCATGAGTAGGCCGGCTAAGTTCCGCGCCCTTTGCCGGACATCAAACTCGCAGGCGAGCTCGGTCAGGAGGCTGGCAACTATGGCCGACTACAAGGCTGCCCAGTACAGCCACCCCATGGGCGCTATGCCACCGGGTCACAAGGCCGTTGTCGGCAATCTCCAGACATTCGAGCTCCCTGAGACTCTCAGTGGCAGTGCAGCAGACAAGGCACTTGGCAAGAGCATGATTGACGCCTGGAAGAGAGACGGCATCCTCCAGATCTCCATGGACCCCATCAACCGCAAACTCGCCGATGCAGCGTTTCTGTGCAGCAAGAAGTTCTTCGGCCTCGACTACAAGCAAAAGGCAGCTTGCTTGGACGACCAGTCGTTCGCTGGCTACATCGCTTCGGGAGAGGAGATCACAGACAACATCGCCGATTACAGCGAGATCTTCACTGTCACCAAAGAGCTCGCACTGACCGATCCCCGTGTTCAGCAGAAGTGGCCGTGCCACGGTCCCAACCCATGGCCGTTCACTCAGATGAAGACCATCATGCAAGCCTACATGGACTACCTTGGCGAGAGCGGGGAGAAGATGCTGTCGCTCATCGCCTGGGGTCTTGGATTGGAGGACGGCAATGCCCTAACCAGGTACACGCAAGATGGCTGGCACCACATGCGTGTTCTGCGCTTCCCCCAGACCGATAAGACCAACGGCAAGGGCAAGGCTGGTCGCGGTATTGGCTCGCACACTGACTACGGTCTGCTTGTCATCGCTGCCCAGGATGCCGTGGGTGGCCTGTTCATCCGCCCCCCGATCGAGGGCGAGGAGTATGCCAATTGGAAGACGACCGCAGCCGGCAAGCACGAGGACACTGACGGCTGGGTCTACGTCCCACCCACCCCCGACGTCTTCACCGTCTTCCCCGTAAGTCACTCCAACCACTCGTTCTTGAGTAAAGCTTTACTAACCACCATTCCAGGGCGACATGATGCAATACATCACCAACTCCTTCCTCCCCTCAACACCCCACAAAGTCGGCCTCAACACCCGCGAGCGCTTCGCCTTCGCCTACTTCCACGAGCCCAACTTCTCCGCCGTCATGAAGCCGCTTCCTGGCTTCGAGGCCGGTCAGGAGCCTACCGAGGGAATCCACTACGGCAGCCACTTCACCAACATGTTCATGCGCAACTACCCGCAAAGAATCACTGCCGACCGTATGAAGGCTGAGAACAGGATGGCGCTCTTGGACTCGCCTGACCTCCGCTGGAAGGACACACCGGCTATGGATGATGTAGTCCGCACTGTTCCTTACGAGGCGATCACCGAGACTGAGGTCAAGTCGATAAGTGAGAAGAAGATCGCGTCTCTCTAGATGTTTCCCTTGTTTGTCTTTCCTTTCCATTGTTTGTTTCTTTTGTACGCATGTGTATGCCTGGGATTAAGAGGGGCGCAAGTACTATGAGAGTACGCGGCGCAGCATCTGCTGAGGATAAATTGATACCAACTCGTCAGTTGCAATTTTGCGCATTGGGTAGCAAGGGGCACATAACGAAGTCCTGAAATACAACGGCATTAGCCTATGAAATCAAATCAAGTGTTATTCTTCCTGAAGCTCTTCCTTCCCGACTGGCTGATCATCGACAGCACCATTCTGATAGGCGGCCAACACCTCCACGGGCACCTTGCGCTGCCCAACCGGCAACACTAACTCCGTATCCAGCGCGTTTCGAATCAAAACTAGCGCGTCGTACAAACTTTGATACCTCGGTATAAGCAACTCAACATCTTCCTTGTTTGCCTTAAGAACCCAGATGTGCATGTACATCAGCACAAGCGCATGTGCTGGCGCGCTCATCGGCGTGGTAATACCTTGCTGTACAGTCTCGCTCCAGCCAAACGGCGCGACGGCTTTGAATTGACCGCTCATTGGCCTGTTGATTTCCAAGACGGTACCTGCTTTGCGGATCTTAGAGTCGCGGACTACGCGCTTGGATACGGAGCCGTTGGGATGTGCTAGAATTTCGCTGTCGCCATATTCGCCCATGCGCAGTGCCACGGTGTTTTCGGTCTCGTTGTAGTCAAACTCGAGGGTATTGTATGAGGGGATGAGGTCCAAGATTGGACTGGCGTCGCTGCGGACGATGTCGACGAACCTGTTGTGGAGTTTCCATGATGCGAGAGACGTGGATTCGGCCATGGTGAGCTTTGATTGGCGATGCGAGTACGAGTAGTTGCTGAGCAGTAGATGTCTTGTGCGATCAACTCGTTGTTTAGTGATCCAGGAACTAGAGCTCACTTTTGGAACTTTGTTCAGCCTTGATAGTGGAGTCGAAGCTACTAGGCAACAACGCGACTTAAGGTCACGGGATGTGTAGAGGTACTTATTGGAAGTTGGGAGAAGTACCAGTGAATGGCCGGATACGTAAATCGCCTACCCTGTGAGTAAATAGGACTGAATGGGGAATGGGAAGTACCACAGTAATTGATCATTAGAAGCATAGCCATCACGAGGTAGCTGAGAGAATAGGTAACTTGAAGTTGGTATGTCATTTCATATCGTTGGGGAGTTTTCTGGTGCACTCGTAACCCATGTCCTCCTTTGAAGTGTCTCATCAGGTTGCCGATACCGGGGACCCATACAAGGCCCACCAGACAGATCCCTTACTCTGATGAACGGGTTAGCGACGAGCATCACCGGCTTGATGGTTGCTGCATACCGTAGTGAAAGTTGCCATCGTTGTTGACGATGCGCTCGCCCAAGTTGATGTCGCGAGTCTCGGGGTTGCCATCAGCGTCGAAGAGGGTGGCACGGAGGACGGGGACGTCGCCATCTCCCTCCAGTGCGAACTCGATGTTCTCGGCAGAGTTGGCAAAGCCCTCGCCATCCCAGTGGAAGTTGCCTGATCAAATCAGATCGATACCAATACCGTGTCGAGGATGGATGTCATTCCTACCGTTGTCGTTGCCAATGCAGGTGTTGAGGTCGATCTCGGCGTCATTCCACTCGCCTTCGGCGGTCTGGAGACGAGCCTTCAATACATGGTTGTCCTCGATGCGAATGTCCTCAGCAGTGTGGTAGAAAGTCATTGTGGATGGTGTTTGGGAAGTAGCTGACTTGATGGAAGGAGTCAAATGAGGCTAGAAAGTGTTCAAGTGTGTGAGACGAAGAGTGAGGTTGATGAGAGCTCCACAGTGTGAGGAGGAAGCTGAGGGCTTTATGCAAGATCGTCGGCCGAGTACCGGCAGCCCCACGACGTGGACTGAAGTCACAGTGACCCATCTGCCAAGCCAACAAGCATTGCGTAGTCCAAATCCACCGCTTGTGCAACTCCATGGAGGTTCTAGAAAGCCATGGCCACCCTTGAGTCTTACCGTCTGCCCTTGAATTCTCTATGATGCCGTGCCGAGTGCCGGCTTGGAGGCGGTGACTGTTTACACGATATTGCCAGATTGGGCGAACCACGTAATTCATCGGGTTACACGCTGATCAGGAGCAGCTGCGTAGACAACCGCCAAGGCAGGGGAGGTTGCGTACAGCCATGTAGGCGCCCCGATTTGCGCCCCGTGGCTGTGTGTGAGTGGCTTTACAGCTGTGGCCTGACCGCAACGTGCATCACGAGTGGGTCTCGTGCATCGTTTGCCAATCAAGCCGTGCAGACGCGATCGTGGCTGTGCAGGCAGGAGAGGATGTTGCGTTCACGGAGTGGATGCTTGTATGATGATGGCGTCGCGGCTTTCGTCGTTTGCTCTTGGCAGGAATGTGAGGTGTGGTGTTGAGGATGAAGAAGGAAGGGCGTCTGACAAGGAGCAGGAGATTCAGGGTGCACGCTAACCCCGCGCTAAGTCCGCACGGGCCGGACCTTCCCCACCCCGTAATGCCAGTCGACTTCGTCCAATGTATCGTGCCGACAATTCATCGTTCCTTGACGCAGGCTTCACCGCTTTCTACCCAGTGCAACATTTCAACTATGTTTGATCTACTGATACGTGACGACCAGTCTCCCAAGCACCTACCTACACACATCGCCGTTCATGAACAGGCCGCTCTCCCCTTGCGTTGTCTTTTCCAGCAACGGGTTGAATGTTGAACAAGCCCTGTTCATCCTAAAACAAGGCGTCCGAAGCTTTCTGTATGCACAATGTAGGTTCTACTCACACAGCTTCATTGTGTGATGGCCATGTCATATTTCCAACCGATCTTTGCTCTTTCGAGAGAAGCAGTCAATATCCATCAAAACCGCAACTGGAACGGAAAATGCCTCAACGCCCTCACAGCAAATCTCTGCCAATGAAGTCGGGCCTAAAGGGTTTGAACAAGGTACTCAAAGCTGTAGGACTGACACCCGCGAGCACAACTGCTAATACCAAACCAACCACTCTGAAAGACCATGACCAGATCAAAGCAATCATAGAGCCCTTCAGACAGATTTGGATGACTGTTCTAGAGAATGTTGAACACGATTGCGTGAAGAACTTCTTTACTGCTCAGAAAGGCGACATCACCCACTACTATGTCACCATCGCAACAGATCCAAACGGGGACCCGACTACCGCAAAAGGCCGAGCAGCATTCCCATTAAGCGTGCCCTACGAGCTACAGATCGCTTTGGTGAAGCTCGACCAATGCGACAGGAGTGTCTTTTGTTTCCTATCCTGGATCCAGGAGGCGCTTCGACCCATAGGGGCAACGGCAGAATGGGTCATCCTCTACCCATCTCGACATACCAAAATACATGTCAGTTCCGACCCAGACCACAATGACGATGTCTTGCATTCGGTATTCGCCATCACAACCGCCAACCGCGAGCATTACTACGCTGACTTTACGCAAGAACAGTTTGGGTTTGATGCGACAGATTGGTTTGCCCAGAGAGAAGACTACCTTGCGAGACATGCGTATGGCATTGCGCGTATTTCCTCACATGAGGATGAGACTCACACAGGACAGCAAGCCTTTCACTCAAGGAAGGACTTCGAGCTTGGTATCTATATCTACGCCGCTTGCGAGGAGATCAGTTGGCCTGCTTATCGTAGGCTTCCGGTTGACGAGCGTGCGTCTTGGGTCGATGCTCACACGAGAAGGATTATTGAGGGGAACGATATCGATAAGCTTTGGAAGGAAGGATGGGTGAGCGACGACAACGATAAGGCTGACGATGCATGAACGAGGGCAGTGCGGTTGGTGAAGTAGATGCCAAGATTGTAAACGACGCTTAGATTGTCCAAAGGCAAGGATCAAATCCCCAGGGCGCAATAATAGACTCGGAACTTGATTGAACTTCTCCTTGATGCTCGCCTTCACGACGCAACTACGGTAGCGTATACCCACCATCAATTACCAAATTCGCCCCAGCTATTCGAGCATGTCAGCAACCTAGTATTCATATAGCAAAGAGAAGAGAGAAGACTTACTCATATAACTACTCGCCCCACTCGCCAAAAACACATACGCGCCCTTCAACTCCCCCGTCTCACACAACCTCCCCGCAGGCACCATACCCATCCACTTCTCCCTCCACTCCTTCGGATGCACATCCAGCATATCCGTCGCAATGAACCCGGGAGAAATACAATTAACGCGCGCAAAATCCACCCACTCGACACTTAAGCAGCGTGCTAGCTGCACAACACCCGCTTTCGACGCGTTGTACGCCGCCTGTTTCTGCGGGACGTTGACGAGGATGGCGGATACGCTAGCGGTGAAGATGAGGTTGCCGTGGCCTTGCTGCTTGAAGATTACGCCTGCGGCTTGCGCTGTGTAGAATGCGCCGTCGAGGTTTACGGCCATGATGTGGCGCCATTGGTCTTCGGTGTAGTCTTCGGCGGGGTGGTGTGTTGCGATGCCGGCGTTTGCGACGACGATGTCTAGACCGCCGAAGTCTTTTGCGATGGTGTTGATGACGCGGGTTATTTCTTCTTTGTTCTCGACGGACGCTTTGTAGGCTTGCACTCGCACGCCTGTTGCGGAGGCGATGGACGCGGCGATGGCGTCGGCGTCTTTGGTGCTGGAGTACAGGATGGCGACGTTTGCGCCGGCTTCTGCGAGGGCTTTGGAGGCTGCTAGGCCGATTCCGCGGACGCCGCCTGTTACGGCTGCGGTTTTACCTTTGAGTGAGAATTGGGATGTGACATGTTCGTCGGGATTGGAGGGTTGTGCGAGAGGCATTGTGGGCGATGGAAATCAAGGTGGAGAGTATGGAGGGTGCGTTGAGAGAAAAGGTTCGCAACCGAATCGGCGCGCCATGGCGATTTCGATTTTATCGGACGATGGCTATCGGAGTGGGTGTACCTGCTCGGAAAACATTCCTACATCATGTGGGTAGGGGTGGTGTCGTTTAGTGCATTGGGGATACACCCCGCACAGGTTGACGGTTGCCCTTGACCCCACGATCCCCGCACTTGCGCTTCGTCACACCCGACCTGTGTTCAGGTATACCGGTCACGGGCATACAAGATGGAGCTTTCGAACTCAAAGAGGCGCTGCAGTCGATTTGAAAAACAACATGTCTTCCGTAACCACCACTGAGAAGGTGAGATGACTGCAGCGCGCTTCTCCAGTCTGAAACTGATCCGTTCTTCAGAACCCAGCCTTCGTCCTTCGTGCCATCAAAGATGTCGCATTCGAGGACCGCGAAGTACCTAAGCTGCGCGACGAGCACGAAGTCCGCGTACACGTCGCACAAACAGGAATCTGTGGCAGCGATGTGCACTACTGGCAGCGCGGCCGCATCGGCGACTTTGTCCTGAACAGCCCCATCATCCTTGGTCACGAGAGCTCCGGAACGGTCGTAGAGGTTGGCACAGCCGTCAAGAACCTCTCAGTTGGAGATCGCGTTGCCATTGAACCTGGTGTGCCTTGCAGGCGATGCGACTACTGCCGATCTGGCTCATACAATCTCTGCAATGATACCATATTTGCGGCTACGCCACCTTGGGATGGAACACTTGCAAAGTACTACACTGTTGCCAGCGATTACTGCTACAAGATCCCAGACCATATGACCATGGAAGAAGCAGCAATGGTCGAACCAGTCTCAGTCGCAGTCCAGATCTGCAAGGTTGCGGATTTGCGCGCAAACCAGACTGTAGTCGTCTTCGGCGCGGGGCCCATCGGTGTACTGTCACAGGCAGTCGCAAAGGCTTCAGGCGCGAAGAAAGTCATTGCTGTCGACATCTCCCAGGCAAGACTGGATTTTG